GATAGCGGACACCAGTGGTAAAGCATTCACTACGTGTACTAGGCACTCAACAGACTCCTTTAATCCTGGCAACAGCCTTTCAAAAGATTACCCTTATTTAACAGATAAGGATCATAAAATTTGAAATAGTTAGGTTCAAATACCAAGGCCACACTGTAAGTATCAGAGCTGCAAGCCAGGACTGAATCCAGGATTATGTGATATTAAAGCCAGAGTTCTGTCGCATTTCCTTGTCCAGTGCGGAGGGGGATTCCTATCTACTTTATGATTAAGTGCTTACAATTGGTTTTCTCTTACAGTCTTTAAGTTGACCCTACATAAAGTAAGTGTTACAAAAGATGAAGAAACAAAAGATGCTTATAAAGAAAAACTAATATGCCCAAGATCACCTGGATATAGGCAGCAAAGTCAGGATTTAGTAGTCTGGCTACAGAATCTATGCCTTCAGCTACTATGTTACACAGCCTTACACTTAAAATGGGATAAGCAAGCAAATAATTACAGTAGTAGAAAAAATGTTATGGCAGACAAATGCACAAGGAATAGTATAATTTCTTGAAGGAATAAGGAAAGCTCCACAAAGGAGTAGATGGCTCTTGAAAGGTAAATATGTTAGGAATTGAAGAAAACTTCAGTGCAGAATGGGAAAATGTGTGTAAAGGCACTAAGATAGCAAGTCAGCATGTGGTGTTCTCTAGCTGTAGGATGTAGGGGGCCACACCAGAGGAATGGCCTCTCTTCCTGATTAATTTAGAGAAGTGGGCAGGGGCCAGGTCATAAATATCTTTGTTGGCCATGCTAAGAAGTTTGGGTTTTACTGGAGGTCTATTTTTCTTTCAGCTTTTCAAAATGCACATCTTTTGATAAAGAAAAATCTCCTGCCCTCCCCTAATATTTTTATAAACCGAATTTTTTTCTGTGTAAAGATGAAGGGAAGCAATTGAGGCATTTCCAAAAGTAGTATGACAGGATCTAATTTTTACATTAGAAAGTCCACTTTTTGGGAATGTGGATGAGAGATTAAAAGGCTTACATACATCTGTTGGCAGAGAGGCAGCTTAGGAGATTATGGCAAAAATTTGAATCAAAGGTTATAATAACGAGCTGAAGATTTCAGTGGCAGGAGAGCAAGGGTAGAAAGGAGGAAATGGACCAAGAGATATATGTAGATAGTAAATCTGTAACATTTAGAGACCAACTGAGTACAGATAATGAAAATAAAAGTTAAGGATAAATTCCAAATTTTTGCAGGAGTTGTGTGTCTACAGTGGTATACTAACCATGCTAGCATTTTAAAAGGAAAAGCAATTTTTAAAGTTGTTGTTTTGGGACAATAGCGGTGCAGCTCAGTCATAGAAATATTCAGTTTATTAATACAGAAGAATATCCAGATAAAAATATCAAAGTGGCAATTAAAAATAGTTATGAACATAAATTTGGGAAATGGCAATAGAAATCATGGGCAATATGTAGGGTGAGGAGATGATCAAACACTTTCCTCTCTAGTCCATAACCAAAAGTAATCTATTCTTCCTCAAATTATGCATTGTCTTTGAAATATGTTTATTTTTTTTAAATAAGTTAGAAAGGAAAAAGACCTCATCATTGTGATTTCTGGATAGCACCTTGGTAAAGTACTCATAGTGCATAGTAAGTATTCAATACATGTGGCTGAATTAATCTACAAAGTTAATGTAATATTACTGAGTTCTACAATGTATCACTGTATTCAACTTAGTGGAAGGAAGCATAAAGTCTTTATTAGAGTGAACAGTAAAAAAAAATGCTAGGGACTAATAAAAATTTCAAATTATATCTTATATATCATTTACCTTTCATCACAATAAGAAAATTTCATATCCAGACTGTGACGACTGAGAAAAGTCTTGCTATCTAAAGGAATTTCAATATTTGATGGATGAGGAATGGGTTCACAAATTAGCACCAAGCACGTCATGGGTGGTTTCTTATACCCACACTGAGATTGGTTACTATTGGTATCGTAGACATGAATATGGCCTGTGCAGTGAAGTACCTGTGTACAAAGAAAACAAAGCAGTTCTTTAAAAAATATAAAATTCTAGTAAAAAAATGCAGAGATAAACAGCTGAAGTGTGACATGGCAAGGAAGCTTTGATAACCGTATCTTTGAAATCAATAAATGTTTCCCCTGTAACACCATGCATGACTCAGGTACCATAAATTACTCTTTAAAAAAATTTCCTTCAGACAAATCTGGGCTGATTTTTCATTCATCTAGTCATAGTGGCTGTTTGATTTATTATTTTTGTTATTTCTTGCTTTAATGACTGTTTCAACACTGAGCAAAGAAATATAACAACAATAAATAGAAAATTAAGCTCTATCAAAATTCAACATTGGGTGGATGGCAAAGCCAAATGATGAAGTTAGCTCGGTACACCAGTGCGACAATTCACGTAATTTAAGTTCATGCCTCAAACTGACAAATTACTAGTTTTATATGGTAACTCTGCAAATGCCAATGAACAACTGTATGTTTTCCCTCACAGTTCTAATGCTATCTTAAGTATTTGCAGTGTTGAGATGTACATCACCACTTACAAATCATTTTTACTTACTTTCCATGTTGCTGACTTTATGTTCATAGTTCTCCCCCGGCTAGTTAGGGTACACTTCATTCTGAGAAAAAAGCTTCGCTGTGTATTCTGCTCTTTACCCTTTTTCACAAGGCCTAATGAATGAAAGCATGAAATAAAATTTAAAAACATAATTAAATATTTAAATTTGTCACAGTAAGAGTAGCACTTAGGTGCTATCTTCAATTAGAAGTCTCAGCATGAACAGCAACTTACACTCCAACAAGTCCAATGGATCTAACATGCTTCAGTCAGTAACTGGGATTCACAACTACAGTGATTCCCTGGTTTCAGGTAACAGTTAATCATTTCACATTCAAGCCAGTGAAGTTGGCAAAATTACAAAGAAATGTAATTGTGCTGTCAGTTTACAAGCACACCCCAAAAAAAGAACTTCAGCAAACTCCTCCAAACCTTTGCTAAATGTGTTAGCTCAATTGATAATTGAGCACTCTATTTATGGAACTTTTAAAATAGCAACTTTCTTTTCAAAGCAAATAACATTTTTATATATTTGATTTTTCTTTAAATCTTCCTGTAAAGCAGGCATGACATTATTTCTATTTTGTTTCTAGAGGAAAAAACAAAACAAAAATACTGAATGACTTTTCAAAGCAAAATTAGAGTGAAATAAATTCAGGTCTATTCACTCCCATTCCAAACCTTATAGAACTAAGAAATGGTGAAAAGGAAAAAAATGAAAAGCACAGAGGTGGGGAATAAAACACATATTCGGGGGACAGTAGATAGTTCAGGTTGCTGCAATATGAAGTACATGCAGAAGAGTACTGAGATAGATAGAAAGGCAAGATTAGGGCTGTAACAATGGAGGGCTCTGGATGGCCTAATGAGGAGTTCAGCCTTAAATATACAACATGGAGCTTCTAAAAAATTCTGAGATGGGAAGCACAATCAGGAACTTAAGGTACATTAATCTAGAAGCAATATATATGATGTATTAGAATTGAAATACAATGATGGTAATCAGGGGCTGAGCAGTAGCAGAAGTAAAAAGAAGGGTGACAAAAGACGCATGAAGAACTAGAATCTATAAAAACTTGAAAACTAATAGAAGTAGGTGGGTAGGAGAGAAATTTAAAAAGAAAAAAAAAGATCTGGAGATTTTAAGGCTAGTATATTGAAAGAAAAGTGCCAAGTAGAAAAGAAACAAGATTTTTTGTTTTGTTTTGCTTTTGCTTTTAAGATTTTATTTATTTATTTGACAGAGAGAGACAGCACAAGCAGAGGGGAGCAGCAGGCAGAGGGAAAGGGAGAAGTAGGGTCCCTGCTGAACAGGGACCCGATGTGGGGCTCAATCCCAGGACCCCGGGATCACGACCTAGGCTGAAGGCACTTAACCAACTGACCCACCCAGGCTCCCCTGAAAAGAAACAAGATATTAAGTTTAAATTTAGGCTTGCTTAGCTAGAAATGCTGGACTCTTGAGGGAGAAGAGTTCAAGAAGAAGAGTTCTAGTTCTACATACTAACAGAACTAGGCAAGGGGGCGGTTTTGGTGCTGATACAAATTATCTGGGTTTACTCAAATAAGGATTAAATTTGCCCTCCCTAGAAGCATTTGAGAATGGATTTTAAAAAGATGCCACAAGAACCATACTGGTCTCAGTGGCGGTACAGAACTGGGCTGTGGTTGTGGTGCCGGCAGAGATCTACTTGTAAATTCTCTGTGGATTTCCAGTCCTTCATAATCTAAGCTTGAATTGTACTGATCTTTGGAAACCCAAAGCCTCTAAATTGGGACATGAAGATTAATTTCAAAACCAAGGTACTAGCATTTTCCTAATTGGGGGAGAAAACATTTTAAAAGAACTAAATTTTCAGACCTCTAGAAATAGATCATATTTTTAATAGTTTAATGACCTCTAAGTCATCATTTTAGAATTTAAATGAAAAAATAATAGGACTATGTTGTATAAACACACCACTGGTTCTTACTGAAATGTGATACATTGCAGCAGCCCTTTTCTAAAAGTGAAAAGCGCATTTTTGTCTCTCAACAAAACGTCAAACATTCATTACATTAGAAATGATTTTCAGTAAGTTCATGTGCTTTAAAAAACCATTTGTCTAAAAAAATTAGAAAAAATCTGTTTAAAAACATTATCTAAACTATATTATATAGAATATATTTGATTTAGAATAATGCATTAACAGGATTACCAAATCAAAACAAAATTTCCTAATATCCATCCATTCATAGTCTAGCCCTAGGGAAGCACTGAACAGCCAGTACAAACCTCAGTCTAAACACTAGAAGTCCTATATTAAACTAATTGACAGCCTGCTTAGGTCCCTCCCTGTGTGAAGTGTATTTACTCTTCCTTTATACAAAATTCTAAAAACTATACATTTGCTTTCCAAGTTCACAGCAAATACAAAGTATGAAATGAACAAACAGAAGAGGGCTCCTACTGGCAAGGTTAAAAATGGTCACAGAATGTAGTGAGAGTTGGTGAACATGAAAGATCTCCAGAGTACGAATGAGCGTAGACTCGAGCCCATCTACCTGAGCTTAACCTACACTCTGCCATTTATGAACCAAGTAATCTTGGGTAAGTTACTTAATAACTCTGTGCCTCAGTTTCCTCAGTAAAACAGAAATAGTAACTTCACAGGATGTTACAAGGAAAAAAGAAAGCACATAATATGCAGAGAACAGTGTTCTGGCACATAGTAATCTCTCAATAGAGGTTAACTATTATCATAAATGAAATGAGATGAAAAAGAAAACCATAAAAATATTCAAAAAGTGCTATGTACTTGAGTTTAATACAGAAGCAAACAAACATACACTTAAATTGGAGAGCTACAGAGAATAATGACAAATTTTCATTGTGGTAACTTTATGAATTATCAGTATACTTTAAGATGGCACAGGTGTGAAGAGACTTTCTTTAGTAATTTTGTAATTCAAGAGGTATTTTCCAAAAATCTTAGAGACTTATTTTTAACAATTCATTCCTAAGAGTTAAGAGGTCTTAGCAGATCTTTTTTATTATTGCTAATGTGGGGGCATCCATAGTATAATACTTGGTAATTTTACTACATAGTCTCAAATAATTGTGAACATTCTGAGGTCAAATAAGCAGCTATTAGGCTCTTAAAAATCTGGTGAACTTTCTCTTTTCTTTATCTTGGTACTTTAGAAAGCTTGAACATACACTGGTACCTTAAGTGTAATCACTATCTAAAATCTTATTATTTGATTATGACTTCCTCTGGCCTTAAAGTTGTATGTTATAAATTGACTTCTTTGAAGGTCCTGATTTTTATTTACTTTTCCATTTTATTTTATGTGGTATTATATCTATATAATTATTCATGGAATTAGGTGGGCTTTAAAAAATTTTTTAGGTATTTTCATGGAATTTCTAAAAAATAGAATAACGTAGATTTCAAAAAGAACAGAGCAAAATTTTATTAAACATGAAATGATGTTTTGAGCCTTAGGTTAATACAACAGCAAAACTTAAATATTAGTACCAGTATCTTATTATGTAAAACCTGTCATATTAAATCAAACAATAGACTTTTCTTCTTACCATTTCTGTGTGTAAGCATTTCTCTCATTTCCTCATGGTCACATGGATGAGTAAAATCAAACACACTGTGTCCAGTTAGTTCAAACTGTAAACACATTAAAAAAATTAGATCTATATCATAAAATCATAAAAACATACAGAAGGGCTCTTAATATGTGGGTATTTTACCTGAGTCAATCCCATGTATTTATTCACATTATCAGAAATATAAATCATGTCACCATCATCTGTGAGAACCATAACAAAACCATCTAGGGCTTTCAAATAAAAGCAATTCATCTGTGCCTTCATTTCATCTTCAATATCCAAATCACCTAAAAAAGGCACAAGAAAAGAAGAATAATTAACTTAAAAGTTATACTTAAATGATAATATTTAGATATTTTTATAAATATCTGATACTTTATTTGAAAATTACAATTAGATTTGCCAGCTGTTTTAATGATTATTTAAAGTAGCACAGCAAGCAAACCACTGAAAAGAGAAAGAAAGGTCATGTTATTAAAAGGAAGACAAGTAGGAAGTTGGGGCAAGAGAAGAGGGGGGAAAGGCCAATATCTTAAAAATTCCTTATTGAAGTTTTAAAAGCAAGTAATAAAAATCACATTAAAGAAGGACTGAGTACGACCATCTTCTAATTACTTCTAATTTCTAATTTTTAGGCTATTACACTTTTGTAAAACAACTCACCAGCATCCAGAAGTTTCCTTACACGCAAATAGCTGATGGTAAGCCTCATAACAGAAGCCTTATCAAGATGCGAGCTCACATTATGGGGAAGTGGCAACTGATGAGCAAGCTCATAAAAAACTTCGGACTCTTTACTTCTCCGAGATCTAGCTGCATCTCTAGACTTTTCTTTTCTACGTTCAGAACTTATCCTATTTAACAAAAGAGGAGGAGGAAGAGAGAAAAAGAGAAAATTTATATGTTAGTTTGCCTTTGCTTGGATAACACTATATATTTTTCTGCTTTTCATGGAATAATTTAAAGATGCCATGTAAATCAAATTATACAGAGATTTGTCTATTACATGAATGTATAAGTAAGAATGTAAAATACAGCTACAAAAATTTTTGGATTACTGAAGACATAAGGAACTCACAAGAAGTCCAAGATGAAGCTTTAAACCTTTCTGAAACAGGTATTTCCTCCCTGGAATATCAAATTGGAGAGGATGTTTTTGTTTTAACCAAAATCTTAAAAGTAGCCCGCGTATCTAAGGCTATACCCTCACAGCCATTCAGAAGTAGTCTCAACATAAAAAAAAAAAAAAAAAAAAATCACCATTAAGTCTAGAGAAACTAAAGCTGTACATATTAACTTGAAAACAGGAAGTTGTTAAGCAGGCAGACTACAGACTGCAGCTAAAACTGATTTTTGACTCAAGTTTCTTTTGACTCCAATATTTTCCCATCCTCTACCCTACCACATGAGCAATACTGACTGTAAGTTATAGATACTTATATTAGCCGCTATAATAAGTTACCATTTTCAGGTTGCTTCTTCCCTTAGCACCCCTTAATCTATTACTGGCACAACAGGTACCAAATAAAGGCAGGAGTAATAGAAGAAGAAAAGATGTGGCACAACAGTAAGAATTGAAAGAAACAGGTTAATAAAGATTAATAAAGGTGTCAAAACAATGACATATCTTTAGGGAACTCTCCCAAGAATAAAGTCAGTCAGAAAGATTTTCCTAAGTCACACCAAGCAGAGACATTTTCCTCTGCTTAACTGTAGCAACATCTATTCCTCCTAACCCAGCTGGAGGTAAACAAGGCTAAACCTGGTTCTGTCCTTATCTTCCTCTTTAATAGCTATTTTTTATTAAAACCTACTATGTGTCAAATGCTACCCTGTACCAGGTAACTAGTTTTCTCATAAATTGCAAATAGGTTAAATATTATCCCTTTTTACAGAGGAGGTTATATAGTGTTAAAAACAGCCATTATGTAGCGGACGGGATTTGAACACAGTTGTTTTTTTTACTCCTAAGTCTTTGCTCTTCCACAGTTGTTTTAAGAATGCTGTTTCTACCTCAAATACTCGGCTGCTGTCCTATGACCCTCAACCTAATTCTGTTAAGTCAATTATTTATTAAATGTTGAAAAAACGCATTACCATTTATTGAGCACTTAGCAAGCAGTATGGTAAGGACTTTGCCAGCATTATTTCACTTAATCCTCCTTATATCCTATGAATAAAGCATAATTATATCTACCTCACATCTCTCCTCCCTTCAAATCACCTGCAAAACTGCAAGGTTCAATCATAAAAGCAATATTCTCAAAAACAACAAGTAAAGAAAACCAGGCAGGGTTCTCAGCACATGCTCCTACTATGTTGTATAACAAGTGAATAACAGTTGTATTATATACTAATGATAATGTAGTTTTAGCACTTAAGTTTGCGTGCTTTATCTGACTTTTATAACTTAATAAGGAATGTGAATATTTTGTTTTACTAACTGAACTTTGATACAAATTATTCAATTTAAGCACCTAGATCAATTTAACTTTAGTATCTTGAGATTTAAGGTGAACTATTAAAATTACTACTTATAACTAGTGATCTATGTAAATCAGGATTTTCTTAATTTTGTATAATTTTTAAAAACCCATGAAAATAAATTAGACTGAGACTATCATGAAAATGCAACAATGTCAACAGTCCGCAACTTCATTTTTTATCTGCTTAGAACTGCCTCATTGTTCTCATTAACTTTAAGTGAATGTTTTAAATTTGAACTTAGAAACAGATGTACAATAATAAAAGTTTTCAAAATCTATTTTATACATATACCAGAGTTCCCAAGTATGGGGGTAGAGATCCAGTCTGTCCCTCCCCCACCATTGGCTCTAGCACGTAACTTTCCTCACTTCTTTCCCCTCTGAATTGGCAGGTGAGAGGAAGGGATGGTAGTGGGAATCAGATTCCTATCTAGTTCAAGTAAAACCACCAAAAAAAGTGTGATGACCAATGATCTCATGATAAACCTGAATATAAGTTTAAATGTCACAATTAGTCCAGGTGATCAGAATTTGATTAATCAGGAACTTTCATCAGACTTACTCACCTTCTTCTCTTAATTACTCAACCAAATTTAAGCAACCAACAAATGACTACCCAAATGAAACACTTGGTAAAAAATTTAAATCCTTTTATTACCTGCTTTATGCTTTTAAAGGGTATCTGATTTAGCTAACCATGGTGATTATCTCCATACCTTTAGAAATACTTGTATTGTCCACCACTTTGAAGATAATAATTGTCAAAGATGTGGCAACTAAATTTATAAGACAAATCCATAAGAAATGTGAGCTTGGATAAAATATTTAAAGCATAATATACTCAAGCAGGGAAGACTAGGAGAAGAATTTGAGGATGAGCCAGAATTCTGGAAGAGAAATAAGCCTCAATAAAATAGGTAATATAGTACTTCCAAGAGTTGACAAACCTAAATTAGATTAGAAAATCAGTGTGTCTTCTATTATATAATCTATCTAGACATAAAGCAATCAGGTGACCTATAAAAAAGATTTAATATAGAAATTTATCTGATGTTCTTCACATATGACTATGGGATCTCTTAAAACATTGCTTAGCTAAAAGCTGTAACTTCCAAAGTTCTTATGAGTTTCAGCATCTGAACTGCCTAGCTTCTTGTCTACTCAGAGGAAGGCTCTTTTTATCAGTCATACCCCACAGAATTACAGTATTGAACAAGAAATTTCTGGTAGACCACGTCATGTAGGTCCCAGAGAGATGATCCTGTACTATTTATTTACTTACTACTTAGATTGCACAATACAGTACTGTAAATGTTATTTTCTCTTTAGATTTTCTTAATACCATTTTCTTTTCTCTTTATTGTAAGAATAGAGTATATAAAACATATACAAAATATGTGTTATTAGTTACCGGTAAGGCTTCCAGTCAAAAGTAGGCTATTAGTAGTTAAGTTTTTTGGGGAAGGCTATTTGTAGTTATATTTTGGGAGAGATAAAACTTATACATGGATTTTTGACTGTGCAAGGAGTTAGCGCCCCTAACTACCCACACTGTTCAACGGTCAACTGTATTTATCTTCCTCTAAAATCCTTAAAGCTTCTTGGAGGCGGGAAACTACCTCATTCATCTCTGTATTCTTTTTTTTTTTTTTTTAATTTTTAAAGAGTATTTTATTTATTCATTTGAGAGAAAGAGTTAGCGAGCACTAGTGGGGGAGAAGGGCAGAGGGAGAGAGAGAAGCAGGCTCGAAGCCAGGTCCCCACAATCATGACCTGAGCTGAAGGCAGACGCTTAACTGACTGAGCCACCCAGGCGCCCTTCATCTCTGTATTCTTAGTAGAGATGTGCATAAGTTCTACTTGGCTTTAGTATCTGGCCCTAATCTTCTATTTGACCTTGACTTAAGCCCATGGAAGGCTGACTGCCCCTTCAACATTTTTTTAGGATCCCTGAATTTGTGCTTCATCAGTGCTCCTGTGACACTACAGACTGTGATAATTGAACAGCATAATAATATCAGTACTATAAACAATGCATACTGTTTAGATTTACTGTGATTACCTGGATATGCACTTTCAAATGTAAGTAAGCATTTAGTAAGCAATTAGTAAGCATACTAGATGTAAGTTAGAAAAAAGCTACTGATTAAAAAAAAAAAAAAAATCACCAAGCACTACAACAGTGAATGGCACCAATACTATCACCGAGGAGAGCAGATGATTTTGCCAGAGAAGAGATTTGGAGGCACAGGGAGAAAGCAGAGAAACTAGAATACCAATTTATTGAAAAGAGGTGAAAGGTTTAAGATTATTTTCCCTTATCACTCTGATCTATACTCTAATGTCTTTTACTGTTTTGTCCTAAGCTAATGTGGACAGGAAAATGCATGAGTTGTAGTTAATGCTGTTAACCAATTAAATCAATACCTTTATAATTACGTCTTCCTAGCCCAGCTGGAAACAGAAGACTTGACTGTTTTCTACAGTCTTTTTCAAGAAAGTGTTGTAATTTTCATCCTAAAACATGGAAGTTTTCATTAGGTTGATTTCTAATCCTATTGGCTTTTTTTCCGGGGTGGGGTGGGGGAGTTACCCTCAGACAAATATATTTATTATTTAGAGTATTCTTATGGTTAATAGTATTTGTTGTTATATTTTCCACCTGGTAATTGCTGCAAAACTGGAACAGTTCAAACAGATAATGTTTAATAAAAAAATGTGTCCCTACTTAATGGAAAAAAACAGCAAAAATTTGACATTTCAAATAAATATAAATTACATTTTCAGGATAGCTAGCTATACTTTGTAATTATTTTCTCCAGGAAAATGTCTTCTAAGTTCTAATCAATAAACTTAAAAATGAACCTTTAGGATATTCATGTTAGAGAATGTCATTCATTTATTCAACAAGTATTTCTTAGTCATCTCCAATGAGCCACTGTTCTCAGCATAGGGCAATAAACAAAACAGACCATGTTACTATTCCCATGGAACTTATATTCTAGGACAAATATATCTTTATGTTTCTTGTCTTTATTCGATAGTAGTTACTAGGGTCAACCCCTAACTCACAAAACATTAGCCCTAGGAATAATCGCTCCATAAAATCAAATAACAAAACTTTAAGAGACAAGGCAAAATCTACGAAAATTAATCTGTGCTTATAGAAGATGTTACAACATAGCATTATGTGAAAAGAGGTTATACAACAAAATTTGAGTATGAATCCATTTTTGTATGTAATACATGTGTACCTATGTAAATCTGTATATAGGTACACATATACATATGGATATGTAACTTATAAGTGCATAAACAATATACAGTTAGCAAAGTTTACAAATATTAATAGCAGTTTCAAGATAGCAGGATCACAGAATATTTTATATTTTAAGAAAAATCCATCAGTGAACTGACACTATTAATGCACCTGCATTTGTCAGAAAAATCCAAAAGTAGTAGTCATCTTACTTTTTAACTTGTTTTACAGAAAGATTAACTAGAAATGAGTTAAATGTTTTCTTCATTTTCGGAATGAAGTAGAAACAATATTTCTTTCCAGAAAGCGGAAAGTAGAGACTGAGTAAGCAGTATAATTCAGTATTTTAAGTTTCTCATTCTAATTATTGGCTTTTGAAAATTTAGCATTTCATAATTAATTTGAAATTCCAAAATCAAGTGAAGTGGTTTCTAAAGAAAAATATTCAGAATATATGTACTTATTTTATTTTTGAAAGCAACTTAAATTTCTTGGTTTAGGTGTTTATTATCTTACTAGCTTGTCAACATCTTGTAAATATCCACAATTGGAATAATAGAGAAAAGATGGATTATTCCCCTTCCAATAACCTCATGAAAATGTTTAAATACTCAGTTTTTTAGTGCTGCAGTAAAATAAGTAAGGAAGAAAGAATCACGGTTTTAAATTCAGGGTACATTCTGAAAATAAAATCTATATCACATCTGAGGTAGCATTAATGTGAAAATGTTCTATTTATACATTAAATAAATTTATTAATTAGCTAACAGATTTACATTTGTTGACAATATTGTGTATTAAAATTCTGTCTGTAAAAAGAATATGCTTTTGTTTTTCGATTACTCCTAACTAGTGATTTAAATAAACTCTCTCCTGGTTCAGAATTGGTATTGAGCCTGTCAAAAAAAATCTTTTATCTCCTAATATATATAAAGTAGTGGATAAATAATACCAAAAATGTGTATGTGAGGCTGTTACTCTAAGATGGAATAATTTTAGCTTGTATCACAGTCACCTGGAGCGATTCTGCAAACACAGATTACTGGGCCTCACCCAGAGTTTCTGATTTAGGAGGGCTGGATGGGGCCTGAAAAACTCCATGTCTAACAAGTTAGCAGGTAAGTACCAATGATGCCAGTCCGGAGAACACTTTGAGCCCCTCTACTCTATGAAAATACTTTATGTGTCTTTCAAAAATACCCAGAGGTGTAAAAGATTGTTCAACACCTAAAACTGGTTAAATCCTTTCTCTCAAAAAATCTGCCCAAATGCTTTACATACCATATCCAACCTCTTAGACATTACCAATGCCACATACTTAGGAACTCAAAAACTACAAAATACACTAAGGACTTTGACTAGATTAGTCATGGGTTGACCTGTGGTATACAACACAATCACCAGTGAAACTTTTTTCCTAGATATCTGTGCCTAAATCCCAGCCCTGGAAACTCAAATTGTAGACTTGGCATGTCTCTTTAAAAAACAATCTCCCCCCTCCACCCAAAAAATAAATAAAATAAAATAAAATAAAATAATAAAAAACAATCTCCCAGATGATTCTGATTAGCACTCTAAGCTATTCAAGGTTTGTGCTTCACCTATGGGTGCTTGTAAACTTTACAGATTCCTACACTTGACCTTAGCCAAAAGTCCGAGAAATGCTAAGTTTACAAATTCCTGAGTCTCATCCCAAAATTACCAAATCAGAATCTCTGGGCGTGGGTACCTGGAAATCCTTATATTAACTAAACACCCAGGTGATTCTTAAGCCACAAAAGTTTGAGATCTCTTATAACAGAGATTATACAGGTTAGCCAGCAAATTCTGAAAAATAAGAAAAATTTATTTTTAGCTGCAACTACATACACATACTATGACAACTATGTTTGTCAGGCAGAATACCGCACTGAGTGGGTTGGGTGATACTGTATAGAACAACTGCTGGGAATAAGAAGCTAGAAGTACAACTCAATGACAAGCAAGTAATAAAGTCTGTGCTTAATAAAACAGAAAAGCATAATTAGGATTCAAACATGACCAAATGAAAAATGTAGTAACTGTAGAATGATTTTTTCAAGTCTTGGAAACAATTTTTAAAAATCACCTTTAAATCTCTTTATGAATGCTAGAAACATAAAAGGGGTTGAGAATAACTGTCCACGAATAACAGCTGTGTTAGTGGCTTTACCCATATCACCTATTCTATCACTCTTCTCCCTTTGCCCTCTCAGCTTGCAAATGCTTTTGTTTTCCTTATTATATGCTTTTCAATAGTAATAGAACTGAAACTGGAACTTAAAGGTCAGTGACACTACATGAGTGTGTGGATGTGTGTATTCAGAAGGACATGTCCTTAGTTATTTGCTTAAATACAACAGAAGATATGTAAGTTATAGTAAGTAGCTATACAACAGAAAAAATTCACATGTATTAGAATAAAGGTATACACACAGAAATCACATGCTGAAGATTTTTCCTATTTAGTTCTAAACCCTGACCATAATGAAGATTCTGGAAACAATGACAAATGAGAAGCTCTCCTAAGCAAATGTCTTGGTACTTCACCTACACTAATCCATCCTATCCAGTGTTAGCCAATAAATTCTCCCAACTAACCCTCTGATTCCTATTTCCTTGTATATAAAAAGGGAATGAGTAACACTATTAATTAGTAGCAAGAGAATGAAGCCCCCATATTTAATACAGCCTATGCCTTTCCCCAAATCAGATGCTCAATAATAATATTTAAATCAAAAGATTAAAGAAATTTGGGGATGTTTTTATTTAGGAATAGAAATAACTACCTTCATGTATTTGAAAAGGATGTCGTATGGAAGGCAAATTAGGTGATTTATTCAACTGCAGAGAGTAATACATGAGAGTTAAAAGATGGCAAGGGTTTTGCTCAGTAGAGTTAAAGCAGTGTTGAAGGTAAACTTAAAGAATTTTTAAACTGTGTTCTCATTCTGATGGCAATGTAAGAAAAAAAAAAGCATATTCTGGATCATCTAAATGATCTCCACATAGGTCTATATTCTTGCTACAAGCCTTCTGTGTTTGAGGTTACATTTGTTTATGATCAAATTAGTACCAAATTATCACTAAAAGGAACAGTTACATTTTTTTAATGTGCACAATCAAAATGACGTTAGTGGGCATATCTCAAAGGTTCACAGGGATTACTTTGCTCCAAAAGAGATCTAAACATTAGTGAGTGTTAAGAAATATGAGAACAAAAAACTTTCTAACATATCAAGCTGCCAAAAATGAATAGACTATTTTGTGAGAGTGCTTCTGTGTGTGTCTAAGAAAATTCTCAAAGCAGACTGACTTAGAAAACACAATTTAGAAGATGCTACCGTGGTAACTGATATTAATAACAAAACTTAAATCCTAAAGTCTGTATTGTTCAAGAATCTCAAACTTGAAATTACTAAAAAAAAATGAAAGATGTAATACATAATGAATGTTATCAATTAACACCAAAAACTACTCAACTGTGGCCTAAGTCATCACAATTCAATGCTCTGCTTGACAAATTAGATGCACAAATATCTGCTGAATAAATGAATATATAATAATCTGTTACACGCCATAGTGGTTAGGTGCTAGAGTAATGGTCTTGGGTTGAAACCAAATTTCTGAACCATTGAAATAAATCAACTTGTTCACGTTACCCAAGAAAAATACCCCTTCCTCCTTTCACGGTGAAGGCTTTGCTTACTGGTTTGACATATAACCCATTTAAATATTTTAGCTATGTTATCTGCAAAGGCAAGGAAATTCCAACTCTCCTCTGCAAACAGGTTAAAAGACATTTAATGAATTCCTGACACCAAAAGAGCATGGAAAAGTAGGCTTTCTTAATTTGCCATCTCCAACAACCAAATAAAGAGCCTTCAGAATTTTTCTCCTTTACCATTATCACTATGGA